TCGAAGAGTGAAGAAGAACATGTCGAGCATCTGAGGGTTGTGTTATCTGTATTGAAAGAGAAGCAGTTATACGCTAAACTTTCTAAGTGTGAATTTTGGTTGAAGGAAGTGAGTTTCCTTGGTCATGTGATTTCGAGTAGAGGTATTGCAGTTGATCCGTCGAAGGTTGAAGCGATATCGCAATGGGAGACTCCGAAATCAGTTTTTGAGGTTAGAAGTTTTCTTGGTTTGGCGGGATGTTATCGGAAATTCATTGAAGGATTTGCCAAGTTATCTTTACCATTGACGCAGTTGACTAGGAAAAGTCAAGCTTTTGTTTGGGATGCGAAGTGTGAGGGAAGTTTTCAAGAACTTAAGAGAAGGTTGACGACAGCTCCTGTTTTGATTTTGCTGAATCCGACAGAACCGTTTGTTGTGTATTGTGATGCTTCTTTAATGGGTTTAGGAGGTGTGTTGATGCAAGATAAACAAGTTGTAGCTTATGCTTCGAGGAAACTCAAAGTGCATGAGAAGAATTATCCGACACATGACCTAGAGTTGGCCGCCGTTGTATTTGTGCTAAAACTTTGGAGGCATTATTTGTTTGGATCGAGATTTGAGGTGTTTAGTGATCATAGGAGTTTGAAGTATCTCTATGATCAGAAGGAATTGAACGCAAGGCAGAGGAGATGGTTGGAACTTATGAAAGTTATGATTTTGGTTTGAATTACCATCCGGGTAAAGCAAATGTGGTAGCTGATGCATTGAGTAGGAAATCGTTGCATATGTCGATGATGATGGTAAAAGAGTTGGAATTGATTGAGCAATTTCGTGATTTAAGTTTGGTGTGAGAAGACTTCTTATGGAGTTAAGATGGGTATGTTGAAGCTTACTAGTGGTATTCTGGACGAGATTCGAGAAGGACAGAAATCTGATTTGAGTTTAGTTGATCGGTTGACTTTAATCAATCAAGGTCAAGGTGGTGATTTTCGGATTGATGAAAATGGTATCATGAGTTTAGTTTAGTTGCATTCATGATCTTAGTCAGTCTGAAGAAGAGCTTGGTCTTTCTATCCCCCTCAGAATGCCATTTGATTATAACTTTATCCCTCCAAAAAATTTCCTCAATGTTAAGGGCCTAGTCTAAAGTGCATTGAGCAGTCTTCTCATTGTCAGCAAGAGTATCAGAGAGACCTAAAGTAGAGATTTGATCTTAGACCTCTGAGGTTCTTTTCATCTAGAGCAACATTATCCATCACATTGCCAAGATGTTCTTGTTCCAAGCTTTCAAATTCGCTTTGAAAAGTTGGAATTTCCTATCTTGGGAGCAATTGAAATCAATCAATATGAGGTGCTAAGCAAAGTCATTTTTCATAAGAGTGGAACAAGAAATAAAAGAGCAAGAATCAAACTAAGATTGATTGCAAATTGCCCTATCTAGTATTTTATGAGTATTTGCCTTACCTTTTCTGCCATTATCCCAGGTGAACCTAGCCCTAGTGGTCGGAATATGAATGAGGTGATTGGAGTCAGTCCAGGAAGAGAAATCCTCCATAGGAACTTTGGTTGGATGGTGAGAACCACAACACTCATGAGAACCAAGAATGGTGTTGAAATCCCCAAGGAAACACCAAGGGATATCCAGGTTATTCATGGAAGTAGAAAGGTTAGTCCAAAGGTTCCTTCTAGTAAAATAATTAGTAGAAGCATAAATATCCGCTAGGGCAAACTGAGTATTGAGAAGAATGACTTTAATAGCAATAGACTAGTCATCAACAAACAAAATATCAAGACTAATGTCAGTGAAGTAGAAATGCCAGAGATTAGGGATTAAAGTATCTTTATTATTCACAACAACCAACTTAAATTTGAGTCTTCTAAGTCAATTATAAGGAAACTTGTCAAAAATCATCCAAGGTTCAGCAAAAAAAATAATCTGAGGTTTATTCCTAAAAACAAGCCTTTTGATAGGAGAGTTAGCAAGGCCTCTCACATTCAAAAATAAACACTTCATAACGAAAGGTTTTGCTTACCAGATATGAGCCTGGTTGTGGAAGTTTTCCTGTTTTGGTTACTTTTCTTCTTCTTAGGTCTGACAAGTTGGAAGCCATCAATGTTATGGACAGAGATGTCCTCCACTTCTTGTTCAACCATATTAACCCATGAATTGGCAAGGAAAACTTCATTTCTTTGACTAATCATGACCAAATTCTCCTTGTCTGGAGGGTCTACATCTTGCACAATGAAAGAATCTTCAACGAAAGTAGAGTCATTGGAAGAATCTTCTTGAGTAGGCATAATTTGTTGTATCCCAATTCCCAATATCCAACAGTTGAGTTTCAGGCCCTGACTCATCATGGTTCTCATTTCCATCAAGAATATCAGTCTCTTTAGAATGACTATGATCCCCTTATGTATGAATCACAGGGTCTTGGTTATCAATTCTGATCTATGTGCTCTTATCTCACCAATTTGAGTGACTTGCACATAAATCTTTTTTTGTTCCTTCTTTCTTTTATCAATCTCAGGTTCCTCCACCAGCCTTCTCTTGCAAGAATCAAAGTCATGACAAATATTCTTTTTTTGACAGGTTTTTGTATTCAAGTTCCACAAAGAAGGCAAAACCTTATTTTTCAACCAACACCTTATACCTCAATTCTTTTGTGTCCACTAAGACTCTCATGAAGTGCCCAAAAGGTCTCTCGAAGCACACTTTACCAATGGTAGAGTCAGTGCAAAAGGGGCGTTCTTATACTCCCAGCAATGGTGAAAACAATCTTTGACCTCCAATATGCATGAGATAAACCGTGTATTCTCACCCAAATCTGAGCACATGTATGTTTCAACAAACTAGGGTTAAAATCCTTACTCCAAGGGAATAGCTTGAGGAATCCCGGGTTGATGTTCTAAGAGTTGATAGATCTCACCCTTCTAACATCTTCTAAAGATGAGAAGGAGAATTCAAAGTATCTTTTACAAAGAGAGGTGATACACCACTTACCAATAGATTTCCAGAGCTCCAAAAATTTGGTTTTTAGGGCGATAATCGTTAAAGGGGAAGTTCCTTTCAGCCAAATCACACGACCATGAAGGTCGTGTTTACAAGACTTCACTCCAAGAAGGTACTCATCCTTGGGAATCACAATCGCAAGCCTATCTCCCTTAACACATTGGCTAGGGAGCTGACTAACCGGAATGTTGCACACATGGTTAACCGGCTCTACAAACGTCTTTTGTTGTTTCAACGATTCTTTGATTGAGGGAACGAAAAAAATCAGCTTTTGAGCTAGACATGAGACACGTCCAGGGGATGCAGAAAGAAAAAAGATGGTGGTTGGCCATAGATGAAATCGCCATAGACACCACCGCATTAAGTTTTGTTACGGTGCTCTCAAAGTCTCCACCATATATATATATATATATATATATATATATATATATATATATATATATATATATATATATATATATATATATATATATATATATATATATATATATATATATATATATATATATATATATATATAAAAGTTAAATTTAAATCGATTTTATAGGTTTTTTCTCTATCATATTTTTTATAATTAAATATGATTCAAATTGTTATTCTTAAAAGTATTCTTAATTCGGCTTCTTACGTCCAAGTTTAGTAATATGGATTGATAAAGTTAGTTAATGATTCCGCAATTCCGCGTATAAACACGTAAGCGAATATATCTTAAATATTTTTCTGTCAAAATTTAGACAGCAAAAGGAATCTTCCTTTTGAATGTAACATGAGTGGAGGTCCTTTTATTTCCGTCTTCATTTTCTATTGGCGTCATATATTTAGAGAGTGGATGGCCCTACTTCTCTCGATCTTTTATGTTACTTTTATCTTTTCTTCAAGATAAGAATAACTTGATTCTATGTTGGTTCTATTAATTCTAATATTACGAATCAAGTTATTGTGTAATTTTCATTTTCATGGGAATGAGGTCATTATTTTCCTATATTGTATATGGACAATATTTCAGTGGTCCCCATGGCCAACGCTTTGCATTTTCAGCATCGCATCAGGTATCCTTCCCTATTTGGACTTCATACGTAAGAACCCATGTGTCTCCGATGCTGTAAAAAAAATGCCTCTGATGCTTGTATATATAGTAGCACTTCCTTTGAATCTGGCCCAAAACTGAAAATGCATACCATGAAAATTAAAAATAGTTAGTTATTCAAAAAGAAAGGAACTTTGTAAATATGATTTGGGTGAAGACAAACTTCGTGCATGTCTGGAATCAACGAAATTCTGTTTGGAAGAAGGTTATATGAGGTAAAAAAAAAAACTCACAACGAAGCGCAACAAAAATCCATTTTGGATCTTCAATTAAACCTGAAAAGAGAAATGTCAAATTATTGAACAATTCAAATCATACAAACGCTTAAATCCAAAACTAGAATTATTAAAACTCAAAGAAGTTTCAGGAGACAAATTGCAACATTTGTGATGACAAAACAGGACATAGATTCTCTGCATATGTGGTAGAAAAGTGAGGATACTGAACTCTTTTACCGTTTGAAGGAAGCGCATTGATCCGGATCCGAATCCGAATCCAAGAAGATTATAATAGTATAAGAGTGAGAATATAGGCCAAAACACAGGAAGATGAACATAATGAAAAATATGGATCTAGGATAATCTTATCCCCACACAAAAAATCCACAATGAAGACAGAAAATAGAAAAGGACGAACAAACTCACCATCACTACAAAAAAGGAACCAAATGCGAAATTGGAGAGAAATTCATTAATGTACAAGCAAAATCACAAACTAATACCTCACACCTTCTCAACTATTTTACATCACAAATATATCCTTCACATTTTTCGCCTTCTCGATTTGGATCTTTTGATTTAATCTTAATCTTATGTATATGAATTACCGTCAAATTTCTTTTATCTTTTCTTATCATTCTCAGCTTCATAATCTTAATCTTAATAGCTCCATTCAAATTCAAATTCAAAGCTAACGAGCTTAGCGTTATTGCCAGTGATTGCAGTTGCGCTGCAGGAGAATATTCCTCCCGGAAGTTCTCTCCATGTTCAGATGATTCATAGTCTGTTGCGCTTGCGACATATGATGAACGCAGCGGTTAACTACCGGTGGTGCCGTCGTGTACTTCCGACTAGAACTTCCACCGGTAATGCTACAATAAGACGATGAAGACGATGTTGACGACGCGGAGGAGGAAGAAGAGACAGATTTTGTTTTTGAAATAGTTGGTAACGGAGGTTTGGAAACCTTGTTAGAAGATCTCGGCGGTGAAATGAACGCTTTGATCTTCAACGGCAATTGCGGCGATGCGGTACGATCGTATTCTTCGATTAGGTTGACGAGATCCTCGTCGGAGGTTATGGAAACCAAAGCGTCTAGATCTTCGGCGGGCAACTGGCAGCGGAAGTGCGTCACGGATGAACCACAGAGTTCTTCCAGTTTCGGAAGCAGTTCTGTAACAAACGCAATTACGGTTATTACGGTTTGCAAAATAGTAATTTCGTTGTCCGAATGTAAAATTCAACCGTGAAAGAGAAATAACTGACCGGAAAATTGAACAGAGCGATCGACGGAGACGACGCGTGTGTGACCACCGAGGTAGCGGAGTTTGCCGTCGGGATAACGAGGGAGGATTTTGCCGCCGTAGCTACAGAGGAATTTGATGGTGGACTTGGGAGAATCAGGAGCGGGTTGGGAGAGTCCGAACATGATAGGTTCGGGTTCGGTTTAGGTGCGGCTTGAATGATGTGAGTTGAGTGAACTCTGTTGAAGAAAAATGTTTTGGGGTTGAAGGAGCTTAGGATTTTGGTGTTCCGCCTTCAAGCCTATTTGTGCTGCCATTTGTCCCTTATTTATAGGGATTTTCACTCGTGCTGCCCGACATAACGTTACTTAATGTATAATCTTATGTGAAAAACTTATTTTTGATATTTTCAATAAATGGAAAACTTAGTGAAGAATTTTTGGTATTTTTAAATTATTGTGGTTAGGAAAAAGTTACGACGGAACATTTTTAATTAATATTTTTTTTTCCTCTAAAATTAACAATAGACATAGTAAAATATTTAGAAATCATCGTAAAAATTATTTTGATAATTTTAATTTAAAAATGTAGGAAAATAAGTGTATTTAAAAGAGCCAGTAATCGGTGATAACTTCTGAAAATATTATTCTCATTTATACAATACACTTATTACGGATATATATATATATATATATATATATATATATATATATATATATATATATATATATATATATATATATATATATATATATATATATATATATATATATATATATATATATATATATATATATATATATATATAATTGAAGTGGTCATTTATAATATATATTCAGGAATGTATATATTTCAGTTAACTAGTTTGTAATTATGTTTGTTATTAACTTAAATTAATTGACAAGTGATTAGTGGTCAACTAATATATTATATAAATGCTGTAAATTATATTTTGAGAATTTGTGAAACATATCACTATTATTACAACTTTTATTACTTATACTAGTGTGCAAGAAATTTTGTTGTACTAAAATTGGCATCAAGAGTCTGATTTTATGAAGAATAATACTAGAGAAATGTAAAGAGGTTATTGAGTTGGAATACATTTAGTGAATGTGTGTATTTTTCAAGGATATTTGCAACAATCATGGATTTCATGCTAACATCTTGTTTTTGAATAGAAGTAATTGAGAAAGAAGATGGTGTGCTTTATTGAAGTCATTATTTAGAAATCAAGATCTGCTTGAGATGGTGCAAAATATCTATAAACAACTGGGATTAGAACCCACAAATAGACAAAGAGTCACATTCAAAGATTCTAAGAAAAAAGGTTGCAAGGCTTTATTCTATATTCAACAAATGTAGATGCTTATCATTTTGAAAAGATTTTAAAGGTGTCGAAATCAAAGGAGGCCTAGGATATCCTAAACAACTACCATGATGGTTGAAAAAGTGAAGCTCTAGTCTTTAAGGAAGATGTATGAGCTAATGGAGATGGGAGATGATCAAAAGATAAGTAATTACTTTTTTAAATTGATTGCATTGGTGAATCACATGAAAATTTATGGTGAGACTATCATTGATTAGTAGATGGTAGAGAAAATTGATGTGGTTTTTGAACTCAAAATTTGATTTCATATTGGTGGCAATCCAACAATCAAAATATTTGAAGACCATGAAGATATAAGAACTGCATAGTTCATTTGAGGCCCGTGAACTTATAGCAATTGATAAAGGAACAAATGGGTGAATTCAACAAACTTTTCAAGCTCATGTTGTCACACCCTCATTTTCGCCTTTAGCCTTTATACCCTACATTCGCCATATCATACATCATTTTATTATTGCATATCAAGCATGTGGGTGCGGATTGGGTCGATTTGTCATTTTCCATGAGATAACTTGTCTATCTTGGACTACATGGAAGGAAAGGTTCATCATCTAAAGTTTGATCTAAATTGGAAAGTCTACTCTTGTAGATTTCTTCAAAGAGAAGTTACTTGATGAAATATTAGGATATTCAAGATATATTCCTAATGACCATGAAATGCAAGGCATAATTCAAGATTGCTTCATCTAATTTTGTTTTAAATTCTTGATCAAGTGGAGTTCAATTTTGCAAAGCATGAGTCAAGATTACAAGTCCATAATTCAAGACTTCATCCATTTCAAGCTTAATGGTTCTAAGGAAATTCATCATGAATTCAAGATTAAAGGCAAGAATATTACAAAGAGAAACTTTATGACATGACAAGAATGTCATTTGTTACAATGTATCCAACTCTAAGTAATGATTAGAATTTATTTCTAATCTTCATTCAAGCTTCTAATCAAATTCATGTCACACCAAGTCCACCTTATGCTTACAAACATCCAAGAAATATGTAAGGATTAAATCAACATTGGGATGTTTTAAGACCAAGATTATGCATACTAATTATGAGCAAAACAGTCCCATGCAAGAGGTGACAATTTTCATTTTATCATAAGACCATCACATGTCACAAGACCAAAGGCATAACATGTGACAATGCTACTACAAACCAGAATTTTCAAAGTGCTGTCAAAGATTGGTTAGCATTGACCAAAAGCTGTCAAAACACAAGCCAACAAAGTGGAACAAGGATTGAGGGCATGATAGAGTAGTGCAGAAAAATGCAGCATGTGACCTTGCATGGAAATGGAAAGAAAGAGAGTGACATGAGAAAAGGTGGTAATAGACAATGCCCCATAAAATCTGCTATGTGGGGAGAAGTGTAAACCTAGGGGCTGAGATAAGAAGAGAAGTTGGTAAGCAAAGAGGGCATTCAGAATTCATTCACAATACTACACATCACACACATTGCAAAAAAAACCAGAAAAATAGAGAGCTTTGGAAACCAAAAAAAAAGAGAGTGAGATAGAACCAAGAGAACCACTAAAGAGGAGAACCTTTACAACATAGAGTGAAGAGGAGTGAAGGACATTCAACCCAGACCAAGGAGGACTTGCAAGAAGAAGAAACTCTTGGGTATCCATTTCCTCAAACTTTTCTCTCTTTATTTCTTTGCTATTATATTCATTTGGCGTACTCTTTTATGAGTTGTTGAACTGTATATATCATGTAAGATCCCATAAGGGACCAAGAAACCATTCTTAAGAACCGTAAAAACGAAACAAAAACACACAAAAAATTAGGGTTTTGGTTTTGGAAGCACAACACGGGCCGTGTCACACGACACGGCCGCCCGTGTCACACTTCTGGATGGCCTTTTCAATGAAAAATACCCAGGTCTCACAACACGGGCCGTGTTACACCTCTGGTTGAGGTTTTCCATGTGAAAAATCCCCAGGCTTCACAACACGGGCCGTGTCACACGACACGGCCACCCGTGTTGCACCTCTGTTTGCCCTAAAAACCGTTTTTATCCCAGGCCTTGTGACACGGGCCGTGTCACACGACACGGCCACCCGTGTCACACCTCTGTCAAAACCCTAAACTCCTATTTTCAGGCACCTTGTGACACGGGCTGTATCACACAACATGGCCACCCGTGTCACACCACTGTTTTACCGTTTTTATTGGCATGTCTCGATTTTTTTTTATGCAACTAACTTCATTTGTTTGTATGTTTTTAATGTGAATGTTGTTATGGTCCTTGTTGACCTTTGATTCTTAAAACCTTTTTAAAAACAAACTCTCGATTTTATCGAGCCATTTTCAACCTTGTAAGCCGATTGCCTTGTGCATCGCCATCAACCTTGTCCGTATCACCTCAAATACATTTTTACAAACAATAAACCTTGATCCAACATCAAGTGATCCTTTTCTCATAAAAAATCCAAAACATAATAAGTATACGATTAGGACTATACACCATGGATTTTAAAGTGGTGGAGAAGGAATGAGAATGGAACTCTCCTACACTCGTTCCGAATGTTTTGAATACAAGGCGCTCGATTTGGTTATTCGAGACATTTACTTCTATCCAAAGTCTTTTGTGTATAATCTTAATCAAGAACCACTTTTATTCAAAAAAAACATAAAAATAACATCAACTCATCAAACTTATTTTCGCCTTAGGGCATCAATCCAAAACCCTTTTTTCAAGGTATAAAATCAACCAACAAACAACAATTTCATAAGCCTCCGAACTACGGAGCTCTGATTCTTCACTTCTTTTAAGTGAGGATACGTAGGCACAAGGGCCACAATCCTTGGCGAGCATTAAAATAAATAAATCAACCCCTCTTTTCCTTAAACAAGCAAGCTCTTAATAAAAACACCCATTCACGCGAAATAACCTAGGAGGTTCCCATCGAGTACGATGGATGCGAGGGGGTGCTAACACCTTCCCCTCGCATAACCGACTCCCGAACCCTAAAACTTGGTTGCGATGACCACGCTCTTTTCCCAAAGGTTTTATCGTTATTTCCCTTTTCCTCCGTGGGATAAATAAAATCCGGTGGCGACTCTGTGTCTTTTTTCACGTAGCGACAGCTGGCGACTCTGCTGGGGATTTTTTCCTAAGCGAGTCAAGCCTAACCTAGGTTGTTTTTGCGTGTTTGGGTTCTTTCCTTTTTGCTTGTTTATCGCTTTCCTTGTTTTTTCAATTGTATCTCACCGTGTTTTGGCTTCATTGGTTCTTGGTATGGATTGAAGACTTTGGTGGCAAACCTTGAGGGAAAGACTCTATACCCGAGTCTAGAGTGTTAAAATTGAGATAGGAGAGGTTGAGTAGTATGGGCTTCCGAGATGCTCATCTCGTGATAGTCGATACGAGAACCTCGCTTAGAGTAGATTCATTTGAGAATGATGAGAACCGTCAAGCTCTTGGCGTGTTTGATCAACGTTTTCTCAAGAATCCATTACTCTAAGGACCTTTTAGAACCCCAAATCTTTGGCCAACTAAGATTGATGGTCGCGTAATATGGGTCCTTGAGAAGCTCTTCTCGTGTGGATCGATACGAAGACCTCGTTCAGAAGAGACTTTCTTGATGGAGTTGTTGCCTGGCAATGACTGACATACGTAACAAACAGTCAAGAAAGTCCATGACTCTGAAATCCTTGTCTAGAACCCAATGTCGATGTGTCTCGTAGTATGGGCCCCCGAGAAGTTCTTCTCATATGGGTCGATACGAGGACCTCACCCAAAAGAGATTCATGTGATGGAGTCATCCTCCGACATATTCATGTCATGTATGA